TGTTGGTGGAGCTGGGTTCCGATTATCGGCTTGTGGAGCTCTCGGGAGACCGATGTTTTCCACCCGGTTCTCCCCTCTCCGCAGCTCGGCGCATCTCTGTCTGATCGCGGCTCCTGACTGCTGTGCGCGCTGCCGGCTTGTGGAGCTCTGGGATGGAAACCTTTCCACCCGGTTCTCCCCAGCGGCAGCTCTGCGCATCTCAGATCGCAGCGGTGCTTGTCTGCTGTGCGGCTGCCGGCTTGTGGAGCTCTCGGGAGACCTCTGTCTTTCACCCGGTTTTACCCAGCGGTCAGCCCGGCGTGTCTCTGACTCAGAAGCTCTGGTGTTGTGCACAGTTAACTCCGGTTGAAGCTAGGTTGCTACCTCCGTTAGCTTAGCTCCCACCTCCGTGTTAGCTTTGGGTTAGCTTCAGGTTAGCTTGTAGCTAGTTCGACCGGGTGTCGTCAGTTGATCCCAGCCTTACAGCCCCACCCTCAGCTCCACCTCTCTTCCCTTTTGTGGAATTGTCTGGGCTTGACGGAACCTGTGACACGGTCGAAATGGCGGTGGTGGCCACCTCCCATTTTTCTTCAAAAATGTGTTATTGGAGCCTATGGAAACCCATTGTCCATATATGTATATGTCGATGGTGAAAGCGCTCTGCACTTAACTTCTGTTTAAGTCATTTTAATCTTTAGTTAATATATCAACAGGACCTGTTACAGGTTTACAAGTGTTGTTAGAGTGTATTTTGAAAATGTTAGCTGTGTTTGTATTAAATTAATAACTTTATAGATGAGACTCACACTGGTTAGCATGCTAAGCTAACGGAAGCTAGCTTTTCAGTCCTTATAGTAATGTTTGTTTTTTCTTTTTGCCCTGAACAGACCGTTGTACACAGTTGCAGCGCACACACACTGATGAACTATTGTGTGCTTGTTTTTAAATCAGATCCTGCCAGTAAAAATCTTTAAAGAGCAGTCCTGTCTCTGTCTGTGGCCTGATTGTACATGTGTGGTGATTTGAGGCAACAAAAAGAAAAACTCCAGTTACCCTGGACGGACAAGGAGAGACGGTTACATAAGGGATGGAGAACATGAATCAGGCATATGGGTTTAATGTCCTACATCACCTTCACACGACGAGGGTCTAAAAGGGAATATCAGTGAAGCTAAATGAGGGAAAGCTGTTTTCTCTCTTTAAATAATTCAAGCAAATATTTCAAAAAAGTGTTTTAGTAAAATGTGAGAAACAGAGCAGAAGAACATCAGTCTGTGGATTCCTAATCTTTATTAGACACAAAAAACGCGCACGCACACACACACACACACACACACACACACACACACACGGACGGCGGATGCTGAAGCGTGTGAGGTAATTCTAGGAAAACTGAACACGATGTTTCTTTTATCCTGCATGTTTGGATTTAAACGAGCCAGATGAATAAATTATGTAAAAATGCAAAAACTCTGATAAATAAATCATATCTAGATCTTTAATTAGAGTTCTGAGTCATCATTCAGCCTCCGGTTCTTAAATAAATTATAAGGAAGTGTGAGAATAATCTGAAGGACAAGATTGTGATTAAGTGCAATTTGTCAGCTCTGCGCTCTTGATTCTGTTGCCATGACTACTGAGGGGTTTATAATTGACTAAACCTAAAACAAATAAGACTAGTGATTAAACTTTAATAGAAAAATAATATATTTTTTAAAACAATTGCAGCAGTTTTTGGTTTTGGAGATCTTCAGATACAGGGTCGGATGGAGACGTGCACGCTGGTGATTACAGCCATCAGAGCCAGGTGATGCGTTTCCTGTCACCTGGGTGATGCGTTTCCTGTCACCTGCTGCTAGCTACTAAACAACTCCTCCCACTTAACGTTTTATTGTGAAAACTAAAACCGTAGAAAATAAAACGTTCATGTTTTCCAGATTTGAAGCTTCATTTGGTTTCTTGTATTAAGCTCAAATCATCGACATATAAATATTGACAATGGGTTTCCATAGGCTCCAATAAAAAGTTTTTGAGCTAAAATGGGAGGTGGTCACCACCGCCATTTTGACCATGTTACAGGTTCCATCAAGCCCAGACAATTCCACAAACGGGAAGAGAGGTGGAGCTGAGGGTGGGGCTGTAAGGCTGGGATCAACTGACGACACCCGGTCGAACTAGCTACAAGCTAACCTGAAGCTAACCCAAAGCTAACGCGGAGGTGGGAGCTAAGCTAACGGAGGTAGCAACCTAGCTACAACCGGAGTTAACTGTGCACAACACCAGAGCTTCTGAGTCAGAGATACGCCGGGCTGACCGCTGGGTAAAACCGGGTGGAACACAGAGGTCTCCGAGAGCTCCACAAGCCGGCAGCCGCACAGCAGACAAGCGCTGCCGTGATCTGAGAAGCGCAGAGCTGCAGAGAGGGGAGAACCGGGTGTAAAACATTGGTCTCCCGAGAGCTCCACAAGCCGATAGTGGGAACCCAGCTCCACCAACATGTTATATTTCAACCCATTTTCTAAAGTGCAGCATTATGTTAAATGCACTGGGTTTTACCCTATTACATTTAAATTTCATGGTTAAACAGTACATGTTAAAATCTAAGCTCAGCTCGGCAGTGACCTAAAATACATAAATATAATTTTACTTACCGAAAAAAAATGAAGTGGAGACTCCTTGGACGCTCTATTAGTGCAATTAATGCCACAGCAAGTCATTTTGTCCAACAATTGCACAAATAATATCCAAAAAAGAAAACACACACACAGAGACTCAAAATCCCGGTGCAGTTTCCAAGCCAGACCGAGGCTCTACTGAGGCCTTTCCACGGAGCTAGCTCTGTGGTCACGTGGGTCTGATGCTCATTAATTATACAGGATTTTAGGCTTTTAATACACTAAAACAGAAGAGTGAGAAAAACAAATCACCTCCCTCAGAGTTGTCATGAGAGTAAACTAGATCATTTAAACCTAAAACATGTTTTGGTACCAGGCTGTAAACATGTTTATTTCTGCTGTGAAATTGGTATTTTTAACATGGGAGTCAATGAGGATTTGCGTGCTTCTGACACCAGCCCCTAGTGGATGAGGGTGGAACTGCAATTTTTGTCACTTCTGCGTTGACCTCAATTTTTCACCCGCATTGTTGGGGCTTGGCTCAAATCCAAAATGTTTCTTCGTTTCAATTCGTTCAAATGAATGTAAAACTTTAAATGATCATTAATGAATGAAAACGAAGGATGGAGCTCCTTTTCTGAGACTGAAAGGAATTCGATCCGGAGGAGCAGCGGTTCTACTCCGAGTCCCTCCCGAATGTCCGAGCTCCTCACCCTATCTCTAAGGCTGAGCCCGGCCACCCTACGGAGGAAACTCATTTCGGCCGCTCGTATCCACGATCTCATTCTTTCGGTCATTACCCAAAGCTCATGACCATAGGTGAGGATTGGGACGTAGATCGACCGGTAAATCATTAATTGTAATATTTTGATTTTGATTTGCAATTTTGTCTTGAATAAACAAGATCAATATACCCTTTGACTGAACAATAATATGAGTGTTTACACTGGCTTTTCCTGGGGGGGACCAGCAATTTTCTAGGGGTGATCATGGCCACCCCTGGCCACCCCTTGGGGGCACCCTCTGTTCAGAGGGTTTTAGGGGGACAAACGGACTAAAAACACCTTATTTTGTAATCCGGTGGAAATTATCTTCAGGATAAATTCTGATGAAGGAAATAGTTTCAATAAAAGCAGCCGAAGATCCGTTTGTCACAGCGGGAAGTGCAGCGCTGAACCGTTCCGCCAGAAGTTCTGTTCAGATCTGTATGAACATCCTGCTGTTTAGTGTTCATCAGGGACAAAAACATGTTTATTCACCTCTCATGTATGAAGATGCTGCCTTTAAAAGTACATTCTGCACTGCAGTGTGTGTGCGTGCGTGCGTGCGTGCGTGCGTGCGTGCGTGCGTGCGTGCGTGCGTGCGTGTGTGTGTGTGTGTGTGTGTGTGTGTGTAGATTAAACGAGCAGCCTTGTCAGGAACGGACGAATCAACGAGCAAGAGAGGCTTTAAAGAAAGATCACACAGAAAGTCTAAAACCATCACCTGCTGGTGAACCACAACAACACATTCATGATTCTGAGCTACTTGATGACATCTAGACCAGGAACAAGACTTTTAAGTCGATTTCTCATGTTTTATTATACTTTTTTTTTCATTTCAGGCTCAGAAAGTGTCTGAAAACAAGGCGCGAGCAGCAACTCCACAGCACCGAGACATCTATGCACGGTTTTCATGTGCACATGCATCATTTATGGATCCACTTCCACTGGATTTATGTCATTGGTGACATTAAAGTGACAAACTAAGCCGCTGTGTGCAGCATTCAGCTGATGACACGTGGTCCTAACCCCACCGTGCGTCACCGCTCGCTCCGCTTCCGCTTCCAGCAGCAGTTGCATCATGATGTTGGATGAAACGGGCGCTGAGGATCCATATCTGCTAATTCAGCGGGGATTAAATGCCGTTTTAGTTGTGAAGCAGCAGGGATTAGTGAAGAAAAGCTGAAAGTTTGTTTTTTAATGAAACGATAAGCTAATCCATCGTCATGTGACCAGATGGACTCCGTCAGCCTCCACGAGCAGAACGCTCACGCTTCAGATCAAAACCACGATGAGCAGGTAAACCTCTAGCTCTGGCATTGATGCTTCACAGCTGATTACCAGTTTAGTGTCACCAGCCCAGAAACTCCAGAATAAAACAGCTGAATCGCATTCAAACCGTTTTCTACAAATGTGAAAATATTCCCATAAACCTGCTGAAACTTTTTCAAGTTTCAGTTTCGTTCACATTGATTTTCCGTCATTCTCCTGGATGGAAGAAGCTTTTAGTGGATTTTATTTTCCTCTCTGCGGGTTTTTAATGAACCCCTGACCGACAGCAGCATCAGCTCTGAGGTCTGTACTCTTGATGCCGTCTGTTATCAGAGCGATCTGGTCCAGGATCAGTGGACCCTGCAGGTCTTACCTCTCAGCTGGTAGTCCACGGAGACGTCGGCGGGGGCCTGCAGCAGGGCCGACCGGCGGTAAACCACATGGACCCGGCCCTGGTCCTCCAGCTCCTGGGTTCCCTTCTCCAGCGGCTCAATGAAGTACTCGTCTGAGTCGGTGCGGATCATCCCAGCCTGAAACACAGAACCGGGTCAGAACCACAGCAGGAAACACCAACAAATCAGGCCTTTTCCTGATCTATGAGAATCACCTTTCATTGTGTATTAAGAACCTGATGATGCTGATTACATCACCGATAATTACTGCGTTGAGCTCTTTTCCTGCTTTAAAATGTAAATTTGTGCTCGTCCGAATCACCTCGGGCAAAAATGTCTCGTTTCTGCTGCTTTCATCGTGTTTTTAGAGAATCCTGAGACGCCACGGACAAACGTGAATCAAATATAATAAATTTGCTTATTTCATGTTCAGTAATTGATGGAGGAGAGACGGTGGGTTTCTGGGGACTGGGTATAACCGCGGTGTGGTATGTCTGCACACTGTTGTGATTGTTTTCCTGCAGCTTCCCCTCCTTCCGCAATTATCGCCTGGTTACCCGACAACCGCCGGCGGAGATCAGAAAGCTCCACATCATTAGTGGCACGCTGGAGCTACATTGCAAAGAGATGACTACCTGCAGTTGTCAGATTACCTGCAATAAGGGGTCAACCATGCCTGCTGTTCACCGCAGAAATGGGGGGGGGGGGGGGGGGGGGCATTCTCAGTAAATGAATGTACAAACTGAATGTACGGCTCATCTGATCCAAACGCTGCGCTGAAGCCGGCGTCGAGCCCCCAGCATCAGGAGGTTTCATGTGATTTTATAATAAACGTTCACTTTTCTCCAGAACGCAGACAAAAGGAAGAAAAAGAGAAAATAGATGCGATACTAGGGATGGGTACCCTTGACATTTGAATCGATACCGGTACTTAACGGTACCAATTTTAGATACTTTTGAGTGTTTAATAATTTAATTCTCTTTTATAATTAAATACATATTTTGCTCAATATATAACCATATTTGATAAATATCACGATAAATAACATACAACTGTTTGTATTTTAACATCGTCCTTGTAGTTTTATAAGCTGATGATTAAACTGAAGCAAACATCTTTACTGTGAACTAAATTTACTGTGTATCTTCATTCCTTTTGCCGTCCTTTTTCATTTGATTTTTCCTACTGGGAAGTTAGAATTTCCGAGGAGAAAGCGAACGCACCATTAGCTGATAACAATGGTAGCAATGGAAGCTAACATACCAAGCTAACGTTATCTTAAACAGTTTATTTAGCTGCTGGAGCAGATTAAAACGATGATGCCTCACACTTAGATCGTTGTCACTGGTTTCATCTTCACCCAATCACCCGTCGCATTTAGTAAAGTGAAGCCAAACTTTAGAGCGCGTTCAAGTTCTTCTAGTCGGGAATTCGGAGTTCAGAGGAGAAAGCGAACGCACCATTAGCGAAACGGAAGCTAACATATCAAGCTAACGTTATCTTAAACATTTTATTTACCTACCGGAGCAGATTAAGATGAGGATGTCTCACTTAGATCGTTGTCGCTGGTTTCATCATCACCCAGTTACCCATCACATTTAGTGAAGTGGACCCAAGCTTTAGCGTGCGTTCTTTCTACCATGCTGCTCTGTTTACAACTGGCTCGCAGCGACCGACGACATAACGCTCTTGCGCATGCACAGCTGTCTAGGCAAGTTCTCGTTATGAAGGACGGGTACCGAAACGAGGCACCGTTTCAAATGACGTGAATCGGTGCTCGGTCGGTACTATGGAATTCGGCCGGTACCTTCAAAAGTACCGAATTCGGTACCCATCGCTACATGAAATCTGCGCCACCTTTAAAGCCCACACTTGTTTTGACCTCTCAGTGACCTTTTGGGGGTTTGTTGTGAAACGACGCAAATGATGTCACAAACAGGCTCCTGCTTCCGCAGCTGCAGGTTTTAGGTTTAAGTGGAACACGAAACTTCTGTCTTAAACTCAGAGTCAATATTTAAAGTGTTTTACATCAAGAAGACATCCAGGTGTCAGATTTATCCTCTTAAGGCCGTCGCCGTCACGTACTGACTTCATAAAGCTTTTGACTCTAAAGTCAGGACTTCTACGCTTCACCTTTCACCTGGTGTCTGTTTAGCAGAGACGCCAGGTGAGTCTCGTCTGCCTGCATCGACTCTCCAAGCATGAATAAAGAAAAAACAGTTTTCTGTCATCGTTTAGTTTCAGGAGTTGTTGGTCTAAAATGAGCCGTTTGAAAATGTTCCTTATTGTGAGGTCACAATACGTCAAGCCCCTACCCATCTAAATGGCAAACAGCCTCTACTTATATAGCACCTTCTTAGGGTTGTACGACCCCCCCAAGGCACTTCACAGCACAATCAGTCTTTCACACATTCCTACCCTGGTGGTGATGAGCTACGATGTAGCCACAGCTGCCCTGGGGCGCACTGACAGAGGCGAGGCTGCCGTACACAGGCACCACCGGTCCCTCCGACCACCACCAAGGGTTGTTAAGTGTCTTACCCAAGGACACAACGACAGCGACACACTGAGCGAGGCTCAAACCTGCAACCTTCCGATTACGAGGCCAGCCCTTAACTCCCGCGGCATCATGGCCCCGTAAAGCAAAGCCTCTCCCTGAGCAGATCTTCATTCACACACTCTTGCTACAGAATCAGACGTCGTGGTGAAAACACGGCGTGTGGTGAGGCCGAGCATCCACGGGATGTTGGTTAGGAAACAGCAGCTGCAGCTCCACTACAGTTTGAATTCAAAATGCTGGAACTTTATTGTACATAAAACAGATATTCATCTATCTGCAGTCAGAAGCTAACAAGTGTTATCGTTGGCCTGAGGGCTGAGGCTGCAGTGCCCCCTGCTGGTGGATGAAGGATTTAGAGAAAGGAGCAGAGATTTTCCCGTGCATTCTGGGAAAGTGAGTGCTACAGTCAGTGAACTGCAGAACTTAAAGTGGGAGTCAAGTCATGGGTGGAGACTTGTTTCAACCAGACGTCCTGGCGGGGACAGCAGTGGCTCAGGAGGTAGAGCGGGTTGTCCAGTAATCGGAAGGTTGCAGGTTCGATCCCGGCTCTGACCAGAGAATTCTGCTGTTGTGTCCCTGGGCAAGACGCTTAACCCGCCTTGCCTGCTGGTGGTGGTCGGAGGGACCGGTGGTGCCTGTGCTCGGCAGCCTCGCCTCTGTCAGCGTGCCCCAGGGCAGCTGTGGCTACATCGTAGCTCATGTGTGTGTGAATGGTTGATTGTGTTGTGAAGCGCCTTGGGGGGTTGTAGAACCTGAAAATGGCGCTATACAAATACAGGCTGTTTACTATATTTACCATTTTAGGAAAATACCTCAGAAAAGGTGATGCATGGAGGCCAGAGAGCGGCACCCCCCTCATCCCCCCCCCCCCCCCCCGCCCCACCCACCCCCGCCCTGTGCGTTCCGAGTTTCTCGGTCGGAAAGAAAGAGTCGTTAACGAGCGCGTGCACGCGAGCACACACACGCAGCAGACTCATCTCTCAGGAGAAGAGCAGACACGGAAACTGACTGCAGGAAGGAGGATTTCCTATTGAACCTTCGTTAGAAAAAAGGGGAGGCGGCGAGCGGCTCTGAGCACGAATGTGTCATGTGAGTGGTTGAGCCAGGTGGAGGTGCGGCGAGTGCAGTGTAGCCACCGCACGGGCAACGCCACCCTGCAGCAATCAGCTGTGGCTGATTCTACATAAATGTGGAGCAGAGCTTTACCCTGAAGATGGAGACAGAATTACGGTTTTGGGCCGAAATAAGTTAAAGTTGCACTAAACGGCCAAAGTAATGATTGCACACGTGTACAGCACTACTAGACACTCATCTATACAGGTTATCAGCTAAAAAAACTGTTAATCCTTCATAAATGTTGATGCTCCCTTTGTTTTGTTTGTTATTATTGAATGTTTAGTTCGTTCGGGGCTGTTTTGCTTTTCTGTGGCACTTTAGTCCCCTGATCCCTACGGAGACCCGGTGTTCCATTGGATAATGTGGAGAACAGGAACGGGCCCTGCTGGAATACTAAATGTTTCCAAAATCATTATTTTTCTTTATTTAATGCTGCAAATGCAGTCGGAACCAAATGGGTAAATGAATAAATCTGTTCTCGTGTAACAGAAAACAAGAGTTAGCAACGTTTCTGTAGCGAGAGAGGAATGTGTTCATGTCAGGAAATGATAAATGTAGAGTAGATACACAACGGGAGATACCATCTACGTCCAGCTCTACGTACTTTAGCTCTATGTAGGGGTTTAATAAGACAGGCGGGAGCATTCTGGGTTTATGAGCCAAACTTCAGGAGGAAAAGCGAAGGTAAAGCTGATGATGTTGCTTTCTCTTCCCAACACCAGATATCTTTTCTTAAATAAATCTGCAGCAGGAATTTCCACCTCGTTTATCTTGGACCTGCAGATGTCTCTTCCCAATAGACTCTCCGACATTTTCACCACATCAGCAAACATCATCAGGCCGAGTTACACCGATTTTCTCCTCACGTGCACCCAGAGAGGAGTTTCAGGCATCCTTTTATTCGCTCCGTTTCTCCTTTGACGTCTCCGCCGATCTAATTCCTGTTGGAGCTGGAATGCCGACCGAAGCTGTGTAAGTTTTTAATTAAGGAGGAGGAAAGGGGAAAAACATCCCAGAAGATATTTAAATCCCAGGGGTTTTCTGGGGTTCTACGACAGGTCAGGTCTCAACTCGGGAACAAACGGGAGCATCGGAGAGGCAGGACGATCTCCAGTCTGAACCCCACCCACCCTGAGGATGAGGAGAAGATCAGCCACCTTCACCCAAAGATTCAAGTCACTCCAGGAGGAGGAGACGATGCGCAGTCGTGTCAGATTAAACGAAAACTGTCTGGAAGGTTCCTTTTCTTTATCGGAGGTTAAGGCTCATCCGGAATAAAAATGACTGTTTTTTTTATTCTTGGAGGGAGAAAATGGATGAATAAAACCCTCAAATCAATAAAGTCAATATTTCCACAGATATGAAAGCCTTTCATCGTTGGAGGACAAGTGTCTCGTTAAAGTCCAACAGCGCTTTCCATCATAAAACACCAGAGTATGATATCAATATCTCACAGAAGCA